TTGCCGTTGTAGTGGCCATTAGTGAGAGTTGTAGTTATCGTTACCGACGACATTTTTAACTAATTGTTCAGCACTTCTTAATTAAGATTACGTACACAGTTCTAAAGTATTACCGGCACACGGTCGTGAATGTCTCTGGCATTGTTTTCAGAAAAAATTAAAAATAAATAAATAGATTATCACAGAATTTGGAAATTAAACGATGCTAATTACGTTATTGTAATTCTCAAATGCTCCTGTTATATAAAAATCGGTCTATTAACGTGTTTCGAAGGCGGAATATACACGTCTACACTTTACTGGCTATGGAGCATGACTAACACAACGATGTCCAATCGGTTATATGGCATGAGGCAGACAGGCGCGACGCGGGCTGAGGGACGAAGTGGAGGGGTAGCGACGCCGGTGGCGCGACGCCGACGTGGAGGCTCGGCGGACACGCGACACGCCACGGGGCGCCCCGCGCGCCGCCGCCGCATTCGCGAGCCGGCACTCACGGCCCCAGCCCGGCCCGACATATCGTAGCACCGCTCACTTGTTATAATTCACGTTATACTGATGCCGGTTTCAACTCTCCAGTCATAAGATACACTCCGTGATTTCTACTGTCTGTGCCTATTTAAAACCACAGCAAATAATCCCGGTTACACTAGATATCAAGCCCTTTCACTAAATTGTATTAACACACAAACGTAGAAAAACTTCAGGAGAATTATCTTACAAAACCACATAACATAACCTGCTGTAGAAATCTTGTTGTACCAAAATAATTCTTAATTAAATCAATAAGTCCAACTGTACCCCTAAGATACTCCTCGGAAAAAACTAAATTTTATAAAACCACATTCGTCAAAATCGGAACAGTCGCTTAGGCTTCATAAAGAGACAATGTAATTGCCCACCCCAACGAAACATTAAATATCGGGGAAACGCATTACTTTACTACCTAGTCGTTAGAAAAAATGTATTAATTAATGTATGGTTTAATTTTGGGCAGCAATAAAGAAAATAAAGGATGGGTGGAGAGTGAATATTTTTATATGGACGATTGATGGAACTAGGTCCGATATGAAATTTAATTTAATTCTGCATTTAGACAATTATAATTTCAAGAAGCATATTAACGCATTTTTCCTACACAACATTTTAATTTCCTTATGGCGTTATTATTTAACTTGTTTGAATGTACGTCACTGCTATTTGTTTCCTAATCGCAGATGATTCAGGTTTGACAAAACGTAACCAGTATCTTTATTGCGTCAAATAAAAAGTATAAAATGTGATAAAAGCATGAAAAGATATAATCACATGGAGATACAGAAAATATCACAGATGCATACAAAACTTTAAACAGGAAAATGCAACTATCCAATACGTACGTAATATGTATGTATGTAATGTACAAACATACAGTCGCATAAGGCGTTTAAGAAATATTGAATACGAATCTTACTTCAAAAGGGCTAAAAGGATGTGAATGAAAGTTGGCACAGAATTAATTTACTATCTGAAATGACGCATAGTTACAATTTTTTTTATTACGCCCTCACGAAGTCGCGGGCAAAAGCTAGCGTGGATAATAATGTTATACCGAAAATTAAAATCGTTACACAAGTTTATAATCACAAAAATATGCGCTCAAACGTTCATGCGTTCTGACGCAGTGATGGCGTCACCAGTCACATCGACTTCCAAAGGAGATTGGCATTACCTTTTCAAACGTACAATACTTATTAATATTAATTAAGGTCACATACATGGAAGAAAATATTAAAACGTTACGAATATACTTTTTTAAACGTTATATATATTTTCACGGTAGATATTATCTCAAATTACTGCCTGCTTTAGTCAGGATGTTAAAATAACTTTTTAACATTAACGCATTATACTTTGCACTGATGTAAAGATCTAAAATAACAAAAAATGCATATATTTTATGCTACGAATGTTTTGTTATAATAATATGCTAGCCTTTAAGATATTCATGGCTTTGGACTTCTTTGGACTTGTGATATTTAAACATGATGTATAACTTTGATGTATTGTTTGTAATCCTTTAATTTTATGATCTAATTCTACGTATCTCTTGTTAGTGATTTAATTAAGAGTCAATTAATGAACATGGTGCTGCAATTGAATGAAAATGAATTACAGGAATGTCGACAATCAATTGCTTCATTAAAGATACCACGATAATCTGTATGGACAAGTGTTTACTTTATTACGCAGTAGTTTTGCCTTATCGTTTTCTACTAAAACTACGATAGAAAATATAATTCATGATAAATTAATTTTTAATAATTACCTTATTGAAAGAATCCTAGAAAACAATATTAAATTATAGACGAAGTTCTTATTATACCAATCGCTTTACAATATTTTAGTGTCGTTTTGCCTTCTTTTTTAAGTTAATTATAATAGATAGATGGATACCATTGCAAATATTATATCTATTTCCAAAATTATGGAAAAGTGATATTTTCTACTGTACTGCAAATAGATATTCTAGACATCCTTGCGAAATAAAGCAGATGCATAACTATTTCAATAGAGCAAGAGACAATGACCGACTCAGTGACCGACATGCGTTTGCCAAGTCAAATATATTTCGCAGACGACAGCAGGACCGATTTCAATATTGTACAAAAATACACCAAGTGGGAGAAAATGACAACGATCACGTGAAAACATGAACCTTGAACATAGAATTTAACGTTATAGTGAAGCTGTCGGGATTGTGTTCCTAGTTTTAGATACTTCATGCGACCCAAAAGTTTACAACTACTGCTAGGTTAGAGCACCTTACGTAGACAAAATCCCGAAGCATATAAAAGAATAGTTCGTCTACAAAAACTCTGCTTACTGCCTTCAACGTTAAATTATAGAGCTTTGAGTACACAAGGTACTAAGATCTAGTATCAAATAGGTGTTCTTAAATGAATTTCCCTTGTATTCGCAATAGACGTCAGTGACCGTATCCGGGGTCAGCTCGATCGCCACCGATAAATGGAGCGCGACCAATGTAACACAAGATTTCCGTCCTTACAATTGTCCACCACAATACCAATACTAGCATTGAATTAAAATATTTCTACTATTGATTTATTTATACAAATGACTCAATGAATTTGACTTTTTTTAACATTATTATTAGTCATTTCACATCCTGGAGTTTATTAATAAACGGTACCAGTTGATGCGATAAAAAATTAAAAACTGACATAAACCATTGGTTGCTAAATAGTAATTGTTTTCTAAATGTATTTCGCACCACGCTATTTTACTTGGCTGATACAAATTCACAGTGCGCTATTTTTACTTCATCCATAAAAGCGATTACATCACATTTCGTATAATGAAGGTCAGAGACACGTTAGCGTTAATTTATCGATATCCTACTTATTGTTTACTAAAAAAATAACGAGGAAGTAAACGGACCGATAAAACTTTTAAAAATGATAAATGACTAAAGTGTAATAAATTATTATCTTTAATACGATTAAAGCTGTCTAGGAATTCGAAAAAATACTATAGTATTAAATCCATTAAAGAAAACAGCTGTTATAGTATTTGCAAAATATCTTGTTTGTTATCTTTTTACTACGATATAGGTTTTATAAACAAATATTTGTACTCTACCACCCCAATAATTTATAATAAGTTTGTGTACATTATAAAAGAGCACTTTATAAAATTGTATGTTACAGTTCTTCTATTATATATGTAGAAGATGTACTATACATTGGATATGTCACGAGAAAAATGTTATATGTTTCAGCATCTCGGTCAGCGCACTACTCAACAAATGCGTCGGATTGAGATCACGCCACCCTGTTGGCAGCTGGCCAACAACATCGATCTACTGACTATTGCTTCTGCACTTATTTATTACAGCATTTAAAAACATGTTTACTAGATACATATTATTTTTTTAGATATACAGTATTGAATGAGTTGTTTTTATATTCATTTTCTTCCTTATCCTATTCTTGTAGGGTCAGCACAACAAAAGGTCTTTTTACATTATCATATAAAAGAAGTAACATCAGAAATTTGAATCAGATTACATACATACACTAGGAGGGCTAGATGCTAATGACAACAAAAAAATACTTAAAAATAGGCATTGATGACTAAACCTAATTGTGAAAACGTGCAACAAAAACCGTACACATAATGTTCAGATTGCAGAACCATGTAATCCTAAAAGCCTAAATTCCAAACTATTTTTCTTCTTTCAGCTAGTGAAGATATTATCTCAATTGAATTAAACAAGAAAATTATCTTATTAATTTAAATGGAAAAGAATATGAAAGAAATAAAATGACTCATTTGTAAGTTCTATTTAAATGCAAAAGCAAAATATATTATTTGTAGAGTACATGTTACCCTAACAAGATTACAGATTGAGCTAAAACAAACAACTGAAGCATGGAATTGTATTACATGTGGCCTAGTTAAGAGGGCAATGACTGGCATACTGTTCCTAATGTAACTCTGGGAACATAAAAATATTCAATTTAAATAGGTAATAAGTATTAATCACTAGCTAGGTGTTATTACTGAGATTCTAGGGTTTATACTATAGCAAAATCATTTTATCATATATCATATCATGTGTGATGTCAAACAAAACACACTGGGTCAACATGGTTGACTAAGGCCTAGTCACCTCAAGGGCAGGATCCAAGCCCATTAGTGGAGATGTATAGTGAGCTGGAGATATAATAATGAATATATCATACCAAATTTTATATATATTTTGTACTTATTATCTAGGTACCCCTAGATAAGTATATTTCAGGAACATGTACCATGTAAATTTGTTGTATAAAACAATGGTAGCAACAGCAACTCACCCAGCATATTAAATACATGATGTTAGTAGAATTTAACCTATAACTAAATACTTATAACTATCGATAAAATAAATTGCTTTCAAATTAAAAGAAATATTTTTTTTCTGTTATTATATAAGTAAATAGATCAAAACATACCTGTGGACTATCCAATTGATTGTTTGCGCTGGAGAAACTATGATCGCTCCCATTGCGGATGCCTGTACTTTCCATATCACCGGCTTGAGAAATCATATTTTCTTCACCTAATCGGGACCTCTTACGGGACATTCTTACATGGCACGCCGGTGGCCGAATTGATGGTGGCAACAAAACGGTTCGTCGTGGACTTCCAATGCTTTTAGTCCGAATAAGAACAGTCCAAAAATATGGTATAGTTTTAAGGGTTTTAATTTTTTACACAATACTAGAAATAAAAATGTTCTATAATAACCTCGAAAAAATATGTATAGTGATATATTATTTTAACGCTAACGTATTTTTATTATTCATAAATATATATAACTATATTTCATTAAAATACATTAACTTTTTAATAGGAAATTGAATAAAAATTAACAACAAAACACGACCGAAGTGTCATGAATTTGACAATTGTCAAATCGTTTGCAAAGTCCGACAAGTGTTGCCAATGAATATTTTTATTCAGCCAAGTTTGGATAGGGAAAGGTCATCGGTGGGCTGAAGCACCAGTAAAAAAAGAAAACTTTCAACATTATAGTCTAACTAAATAAGGATGATTATTACCAATAATTTAGTCACTGGTGTTGGGGGTAAATTATTATGTAAATGTTATCAGCGACCAAAACCCAGGATTTTATAGAATGCGACATCCGACTGGTGTTGGCGACATGTAAGGGACACGGTTGTCCAAAATGTTTGGTAAAGGGAAGAATGACCCACGACCACACAGAAAACACTGTGAAGTGGAATCGATTCTAGGTTTCATCCGATAAATGGGGTGCTGGAGGCCTAATTTTAGTCCCTTTCTCTACCATCCTTTTTTTAAGAGGAAAGGAAGGGAAGAAAAAGTGGATTTGTCGGTGGAAGAGACGCGTAGGCAGGGGAAATATGCTCTCTCCTCCTCCATCAATTAAGGGTAGGCAACACATCTGCAATTGCGGATGTTTATGGCCAGCGGTTGCTTTTCATTTCGATGAATTCAGGTGGCCGCTTGCTCATTAGCCACCTTATAAAAGAATGAGAGAATATGGGAATCAAAATTACGATAAACAGTCGGAAAGTGTCCTATCCAGCGTGTGTGCATCTAGTGTCCAGTTATTCAAATTCATTGGCATTGTAAGTTAAGAATAATTATTTGTGTATCAAATTAATGTAAACAAAATTATTTTAATAATTCGACTGTTTATTGATATTTACAATGCGTTTGTAAATCTGTATCAATGTTATAAAGAGGAAATATTCTTGTTTTTGGAATGCTGCATGTATCAAAATAACTCAAACATTACTTACATTAAAAAACTATGTTGTCTCTGAGTAAAATTTGCTATATTTTTACTATTATTAATTTCACGCGGGAAAAGTCGCGAGCGTCAGCTAGTGTCTAAATAATGAGAAATTTAATCTTAGGATTTACTGGAGTTTGTACCGTACCGTAAAAACGGTACCATATAAAATTGGAAATGATTGTGAATATAAAACAAACACTTTAATGTCAATAACTTTTATTTTAGTTAAACAAAGAAATGTATATATATAATATTATATATATTTACTGAATAAAATTATTTCTTAAAACAGAGTCTCGCCCATGCGGGAATCAGCCACAAAGTTCTCAACATAGCCGAAATATGGCAAACCTGTGAAGTTCATTTGTAAATGGTCCAATCCTTCGTTTGGTGTCATTTATATAAAAAGCGTAACGAGTATCATATATTTCTAGAATATTAACAATTAAACTTTAAGGAGATGAGCAAGTATATTATCAATTCCAAATTATGAACCCCAGCACCTAGCCCTATCGTTTAATCTATTACTTTATCTATTTGACTAAATATAAATGATAAGAATTGGACCATCCACATTACAATTGGCCAAACTGGATTGGAAAACGACATTAAACGTCAACGAGGTGTCTACAACGCTTTAACACGATTAAACCTCAAAAAAACAGTACAAAATATATCACAGCAATTTAAGCCCAAACTGATTTTTGATTGAGTATGAGATCGAAGAACAATCCACCATAGGGATAGAAGTGAAAATGTATTTGCTGTTTACGGGAGTTCTCCCAATCGTTTACTATTAAGGGACAGACAATTCAAATGTATTAATAAATAACAATGTTAAACGCCATTATTAGTTTCGAATATATTTATATAAATAGCAGCGTCCTACAGGCGGTTAACGAATGGAAGTGTACTATTGGGGTGAAGTGGCCGGCGGCGCTGCGCGACCTAGCTGGCGGGCAATAAATACATGCGGCGGCGAC